AGAGAGAGAGAGAGAGAGAGAGAGAGAGAGAGAGAGAGAGAGAGAGACTGGAAAAAAACCCGGCTTGAGGCAGGCCAGTACCGGTCTGTTCAAAAAGCTTCGGTAGCGCCAGGAGATACTTTTTGGACTCGGGCAGATAGAAGAACGACCTGGGGCTTAGCCTTTGACAGAATGTGAAAACAGGTTTAATTTTAACAGATTTACCTGGTCCCGAACCCCCTTCGCCCTTCCAAACGCTGTTTATCCCCGGTCGAGTTTAAGTTTTACGGCATCAATTGGGATCGTTTATTTCCTAAACCCAACAGTGATTTCTACCCCAGCAAGCTGAAAGCTGCACCGGGGAGCACGCCGCCTCGATATCTTCATTTCCATCTGAAATCAAACATGATCGGTAACTAAGGTTTTCCGAAGCCAGCGTCTGCCCCCCACCTCCGGCCCTGAGAAGACAGTTAATCACAGCCTTGAAAGATGAAAGATGCAGGAGGCGAGCGGAACTCTCCTAGGCAAAGCTGCACCCCGGGGGGTCATGAAAGCTGGGGGAGGGACCATGATTCCTTGATGCAATAACATATTGAGACACTTTCTGCTTTTCACTCCCTCTGGAGTAAATATAGGGCATCTCACCCATGAAGGGTGATTATAGCTCCTAAGAGGAGGAAGCGACTTATTAAGGTTTTGTTCCCGGGCAAAGGGAAGATAAGAAATCAGTATTGATAGCGAGGAGCAATCCGCAGTTTCCCCTATAAAAATATATTTTCTCTGAAAACTGTTTTGGCAGTTGGGTGATTATCATGATGATTATTAATTTGGGTCTGAAATTGACTGAGCTTTGCAGGCGGTTCTGGTGCCTCAAGCTTTCAAAAGACAACTTTTCCCATTGCAGTCGCTTCTGGAATATTTTTGCGTGGCACCTTCTTCCGTCAAGCAATTAAAGACGCTTGCAAATGTGAATTGGTTACCTGGCCCCATAAAAATCCCCATTTACTGTTTAGTATTTTATTTGAAAATATTAAACCACTAAACTAAACCAACCAAACAAACAACCAACCAACCAAACAAACAAACAAAAAAAGCCGAACAAGAGACCTTTAAAGCCAAACATTTACCCAGCCGGTCGGAGGCACCACTTCCCCTTTGATCTTACTGCCACAGCCGTTCGCTGGAATTTGCTCCAAAAGAGACATTTTTATTTGCTTTTGTTTCCCTTTAAATTAGGTTATTTGTTTTTTGTGGGTTTTTTTTTTTGCCCCCTAAATGATGACCAGAAACCCCCCACACAGGATGAAGCAAGTCCTTACAATGTTAGGAAAGTGAGTGCTGCCTTCTTATAATAAAAGGTGTTTAAAGGGTTCGCTACAGCTTTAAACAGAATTACAATTTACTTCTTTCAAGTGTCCAGGCCATAAATTCTTCTCAATTCCCTCTCTCTCTCCTTGTCGGAATTAATGAGATCAGATCTGATCAGGGCGCTGATGTGTTCAGCGCCAAATCACACAACAGCGCGCGCACCGTAATGGAATTTGCATCTAATGCATACATAAATCAAACATCTTTCTGGACATTTTCATATGCATAATGTCATTTCATCCAGCTCTGTCTGTGCAGAGGGGGAGATTTTTCTCTCTGAGAGAATGACTTTCTTTAATGCTTTCATTTTATTTTCGCTGACTGCGGTCCGGGAGAATGCAGTCGGTCGGAGAATCTTTCGGGGCGCGGTTGACAGTTCCTTTTCCAAGAGGGGTCCTTTACATTTATCATGCCTCTTCCTCGGGGGCTTTGTTATGCAAATGTGGCTGAAATTGATAATTCCAAAGTGCTTCATTTCGGCTCCTCGGCGGTTGGAGATGGTAGATAAAAAGAAACTGACAAGACACACTGATTGCCCTCGGTGCTTGTAACTCTCTTGCTAACAAGGGCTGGATATTGTTAAAAATTCCTATTGTTATGAGGGTGGCGCTCCCATTATGCAGGCCTTGCAAATTTCTGATTTGAATATTAACCCTTTAATCACTCAGCCCCTTTGCCCCCTCCAATTTTTTTTTTTCCCCGAAAAAGTCAATTGCCATCAATGGCTTCAGGACCCCAAACATCAAGCCATTCTTCTATTATGGTGAACAGCTGGGGTATATTGAAAACACTTCATTAATCATTTGTTCCCAAGATAAACTTCGCATTTATTTTTCACAGGCACAGAAAGGGGGTTATCTTTGGCAAGCCGCTACCCTAACCCCAGTGCTTAGGGAAGACTTTGGGACTGGATCACCATTGCACAAAATACTAGAAATCTGTAATTGTGGAAAACAATTTTGAAACAGAGCCGGGCCTCCTCAAAAAAGGGCAGTATCAGTATTTTAACCTGGCCATGCTGTGTCTTCTTGTGCAGACCAAAGAAGGCCTCGGGGAGGTGATGTGTGCCTGCTGTCGCCAGAGGTAAGTTTATTTTACCGGTATGACCAGGAAACGGAGAAAAAAAAAATTTCCCAGCATTCTCCACCTAGACTAGACCGGAGTAGCAGACTTCTGAATACGGTTTCCAGGGGGAGAATTGCAAATTGAGGCCGCTCTGGGCATTAGCATACCAATGAGGCTCTGGCGGTAAACTGCCTTTGCCAGCGAAGGCTGAGAGCCCGGGCTGGGGCCCTCAGCGGGTGGAACGCTGGACATTTGAAGAGCGTGGTTGTCTGTGGATATTCCTCTAGGAGACCAAGGCCAGAGTCACCCAGATAACCGACCCTGAAGTCACCTCAAGAGTCTTCTGTACACACACACACACACACACACACACACACACACACA